GACATGGTGGGAGCAGGGAGACAGGAGGGGATGTGGTGGGTGCAGAGGGGGCTGAGGTGGGAGCAGAGGGAGTTATGGTGGGTGCATGGAGACAGGGGGAGATGTGGTGGGTGCAGGGAGACAGGGGAGATGTGGTGGGTGCAAGGAGACAGGGGAAGCTGAGGTGGGTATACGGGGAGACATGGTGGGTGCAGGGAGACAGGGGGAGATATGGTGGGTGCAGAGGGGGCTGAGATGGGTACAGGGGAGATGTGGTGGGTGCAGGGAGACAGTGGGAGATGTGGTGGGTGCAGGGAGACAGGGGGAGATGTGGTGGGTGCAGGGAGGCAGTGGGAGATGTGGTGGGTGCAGGGAGACAGGGGGTGCTGAGGTGAGTGCAGTGAGGATGTACAAAATATAATCTATAAGGAGCTTACCTGTGCTGTCGGCCAGGCTGCTGCAGTTCCTTATCTTCCAGATGCTCTTCAGGCGAGGCCAGAAGTGATGTCACTTCCAGGACCCGCTTGTTCCTCCACACACAGCACCGCTCAGGGGGAGAAGACCTGGCAGCAAGAACTGAATGATCGCTGCCAGGTCTGTCTGAGAGAAGAGAAGCGGGTGAGGGGGTGAGTGAGGGAGGAAGGGGGGACTACCTACAGAGTGAGATGTTGCAGGGGCCCTGCAACATATCACTGGAATATGGGAGGAATCATGTTTTTCTGGCTGAGGAGATCTCCGGGCCTTCAGTCCATGACCAATCGATCTGCCCGACTGGTCAGTCCACCCCTGATTGGCAGCAGCCTGACCTGGATTCACGACAGGCTGAACATCTAATTCTTTGTGCAGACACGCCCCCTTTTTGGGCATGTTCTGGTCACGTGATTCACGTCAGTGGGCCACCCTATTACCCGGCCACCGATATCCTGCTTCACCGGACGCTGCTGTTAGGGGGTATGGATTTACGTGAAAGATGAAAGTGAGAGATTAGCATAGAGTGTGTGTTTTCTGATAGCTCTATCCTGCGAGTTTCCCTCCACCACATACAACCAGATACATGACGCTTGGGAGGTATAACTGGTTTAGTGTTTTCTGTCTATAAGATTCTCTAATTAGGCCCTATATATATATCTCCAGAGCAGGGAGGTGACCAGCATATATAATATATTCTTTATTAAAGATGCATTAAACAGGATCAATGTTTGAGTCCCCGTCCGGGACTTCCATCAGAATATGTGATATGTGTGAATTGTAAGGGTTGGCTTGTGGACCCAACTGAATGAATCTATAACAGACCTACCTAACTAGCGTAGTATAGGGGGTATGATACCCTAAAATCCTGGGCAGCCCATAACATGTAAATAAACATAGTATGAGTAATGGCCCATGATACAAATATCTTATAACCCACGACCCACTTTGAATGAAGAAACAGATACAAGTGAAAGCAGGTCCTGAATAATGAACCTAATAGTATGATGAAATATGCAAGGAGTATGTACGTGGCCCCTGTAACATATTATACAAAATTCGTAATGCCGTCTGAGCCCACATGTGGCCTATGACCTGGGACCTCCTTGAGGGTAGAAAACAGATTTAAGATAAAACAGTAGTCCTGTCTAAGGAACATAACGTGGTAATATAGGCAGGAGACTATACTACACATTTGAGTAGAATTGAGGTGAGCAGTTGGAGAAGCCACCATAGCAGGTGATTTAGGATAAGGAACCTAAACTTAGTAATATAATTATGATTATACAAGGCGAGAATTTCGTATAATTGAACTGTTATTTACTCCATGTTATATCATCTCAAGCACTAGGTGTCACTGCAGCACCACTTTCTTAATAAATGTGCTTCATATATTTTTGGAGATAGTCACTAAGCTCCAGTGAATTAACAAAACATCGGCTGAAATAGTTGCAGATTTTTCCATCCGCTATAGTCACAGGTCAGCGAATTTAGGCTCAGTTTTGCATTTCCGATTTTAATTTGCTACATTTGGAATTTAGTGAATAACCCTGAAAGTTCTCAAAAGATTTGATGGACAATAAGTGCTTGGCCAATGAGCTTCCAATCGAGCATAGTCACATGTTTACACAAAGTCTGCAGAATTAATGGTAAACCAGTGTAAATTCATCCCCAGAGCTTAAACTCGGCAGGTATCTGAGACCTATCCCAAGAGTTTACAGTCTGCAGGTAGCCGAGACCTATCCCAAGAGCTTACACTCTGCAGGTAACCAAGACCCATCCAAAGAGCTTATACTCTACTGATAACTGAGACCCATCCCAAGAGCTTACACTCTGCAGGTATCTGAAACCCATCCCAAGTGCCCAATTCTCTAAATACTTTCATTAGTCCCTGGCCTTATCTTATAGTTAGGATAGCCTTATGCCTATCCCACGCATGCTTAAACTCCTTTACTGTGTTAACCTCTACCACTTCAGCTGGAAGGCTATTCCATGCATCCACTACCTCTCAGTAAAGTAATACTTCCTGATATTATTTTTAAACCTTTGTCCCTCTAATTTAAGACTATGTCCTCTTGTTGTGGTAGTTTTCTTCTTTTAAATATAGTCTCCTCCTTTACTGTGTTGATTCCCTTTATATATTTAAATGTTTCTATCATATCCCCCCTGTCTCGTCTTTCCTCCAAGCTATACATGTTAAGATCCTTTAACCTTTCCTGGTAAGTTTTATCCCGCAATCCATGAACCAGTTTAGTAGCCCTTCTCTGAACCCTCTCTAAGGTATCAATATCCTTCTGAAGATACGGTCTCCAGTACTGTGTACAATACTCCAAGTGAGGTCTCACCAGTGTTCTGTACAATGGCATGAGCACTTCCCTCTTTCTACTGCTAATACCTCTCCCTACACAACCAAGCATTCTGCTAGCATTTCCTGCTGCTCTATTACATTGTCTGCCTACCTTAAAGTCATCAGAAATAATCAATAGAGATGAGCGAACCCAAACTGTTAAGTTCAGGTTCATACCGAACATTATGAATTTTGGACCCCGAACCCGAACATTTCAGTAACAGTTCGGGTTAGAATTTGGTGTTCATCGATTTAATGGCGCGTTTTGAAAAGCTGCAGGTCAGCCACTCAACAAGCGTTTGACTCGTGTGCCCTTAGAAGCCATCACAGCCATGCCTACTAATGGCATGACTGTGATTGGCCAGTGCAGCATGTGACCCAGCCTCTATATAAGCTGGAGTCAGATGAGCTCTTATTAGTGTAGAGAGAGGATGCTGCAGCTGTGAGGGAAGATTAGGAAAGAATTCTGGTGTTGAATCTGCAAACTACAGCGATTATTTTTGTGGGTGCTATACTACATTTTTGTACCCTGCCCTGAGCCCAGTGCCACAGAGAAATAAGCATTCAGTCTGTTTGTTAGGTGGGCACTTGCAACTCCATGTGTGCCAGGTACATTACTTTAATCCTGTTCGGGTAGCTCAGTGGGCAACATCTAGGCATTTTTAAATACTGCTGTGACATCGCACTTTGAAAAATTCACATTTTTTTGGTGCTAAGAAGTAAATTTTGGGCGTGCACTTCATATCTGAGAGTCAAATAGAACCGTCAAATACTGTGGTTATATTGCACTTTGAAAAATTAAAAAAATTTTGGTGCAAAGGAGTAAATTTTGGGCGTGCACTTCATATCTGAGAGTCAAATAGAACCGTCAAATACTGTGGTTACATCGCCCTTTGAAAAATTCAACATTTTTTTGGTGCTAAAAAGTAAATTTGTGGCGTGCACTTCATATCTGAGAGTCAAATAGAACTGTCAAATTCTGTGGTTACATCGCAGTTTGAAAAATTCTAATTTTTTTGTGCTAAGAAGTAAATTTTGGGGGTGCAATTCATATCTGAGAGTCAAATAGAACAGTCAAATACTGTGGTTACATCGCAGTTTGAAAAATTCTAAAAATTTTGGGTGCTAAGAAGTAAATTTTGGGCGTGCACTTCATATCTGAGAGTCAAATAGAACCGTCAAATACTGTGGTTATATTGCACTTTGAAAAATTCAACATTTTTTTGGTGCTAAAAAGTAAATTTGTGGCGTGCACTTCATATCTGAGAGTCAAATAGAACCTTCAAATACTGTGGTTACATCGCAGTTTGAAAAATTCAAATTTTTTAGTGCTAAATAGTTCATTTGCTGCCTGCGGTTCATTTCTTGCAGTCCAATAAAACCCTTAAATACTACTCTTACATTGTTGGTTTAAAAAAAAAAAAAAATCACACTTTTTTGAAACAGTGAAGTAACTGTATTATTTACTCCTGTCACACTGTTGTGTGACCTCTAGAAATTTTTTCTCTTTAGGACACTGGCACTGCCTTACTGTCAGTGAACTTAATTGTTGACTATTGGTGGTTACATTGTCGCCTGCCATAAACCATCTGTTAGTTTGGGCCTGAGGCAGATAGCAGTTAGGCGCATGTCCTTCTGCCACCGAGGATTGCAGGGCAATTCTCTTTGCCTCCTGTTGCCTCCTCCTCCTACTCCGCTTCCTCCTCCTCTACCACCTCCTCATCCGGTCAGCGTAACACCTTCACCACCAACTTTAGCACAACCAGGGGGAAACGACAGCAGGCTGTTTTAAAACTCATATGTTTGGGGTGAAAACCCCCACATCATGCAGGAGCCGTGGACGGGCACTGAACAACAGACTGATGAGTGGTTGTTGCCACTGAGCCTCAAACCCGGCCTGGTGGTGTGAGATAATAGGCAAAATCTTGTAGCAGCTCTGGGCCAACCGGTTTGACGCACATCCCTTGCCTGGCGCATGTGCTGAATTTGTGGTGCAGAAATTCCTGAAAAACTACCCAGATATATCAGAGCTGCTGCAGAAAGTGCGCACTTTCGGCGTTCTCACCCTGCTGCTGCTCGCCTGTCTGCACTGCAGCGTAACTTCGGCATTCCCGCTCACCGCCTCATATTGAACATGCCCACAGGGAGGAACTCCAGCTTGCACATGCTGGAGAGACTGTGCGAGCAGCAGCAGGCGATAGTGGAGTTTCAGCTGCAGCACGCACGGGTCAGTCGCTCTGCACCAGACTTGCCCTCCAATAGATCCTCGTTAAAGGATTTAAAGTGTACCCATTCCAATTACAGGGCCTCGAAAGAGTCCTATACTGTTATTTATCGTCACTACCTCCCCGCGTTGGGAGTGGGTAATTTGCGCGCCTGCTGCCTTCCTTGGATGTGGTAGCCGTTTCTCATGCTCCCTCTACGGAATCGTACCCTGATTCCCCATTACCCATGGTCACCATGGTAGGCGCAGAAAGTACCAGCGAAAGTTGACAGGACATCCGAATGCGATCGGCCCGAGGTTATCTAGAGTCACTAAAGTCCCTGCGTGACGACTGCTGAGTTTCCCACATTCTAACTTGTACTGATTACTGGGTGTCCAGCCTGCTGGATCCCCATTACAAGGACAACATGCCGTCCTTAATTCCCTTACTGGAACGTGATCAGAAGATGCACGACTACCAGCTCACGCTGGTAGAAGCGCTGCTGAAGGCATTCCCAACTGACACCGGGGGCTCAGTGGAAGCACAAGGCGAAGGCAGAGCAGAGGAAGAGGTCGCCAACACAGTTGGGGCACTGCCAGCACCTCAGAAGGCAGGGTTAGCATGGATGAAATGTGAAAAAGCTTTGTCAGCATGCCACAACAACCAACACCACCAGCTGATATGGAAAGTCTTAGTAGGAGGCAGCATTTCAGCAACATGGTGGAACAGTACGTGTGCCTACACGTACTGACTAATGGGTCTGCCCCATTCAACTTCTGGATCTCCAAATTGGGCACAAGGCCTGAGCTTGCCCTTTATGCCTTGGAGGTGCAGGCCTGCCCTTCAGCCAGTGTATTGTCTGATCGTGTGTTTATCACAGACAAGCGCAGCCGCCTGTCCACAGCCAACGTGGACAAGCACACCTTTATTAAAATGAACCAGGCATAGATCCCACCAGACTTGTCTGTGCCTTGTGCAGAATAGACATTTATACCGGCCTCACCCAGCCATTGTTATACTCAAGCACACTCATTCTTTGTTTTCTTTTTTTATATGTCCCAATATTTTGGGGGCTACCCCAATTGTTTGCAGGGCACTTGTCCTACTCTTACTTCCTTTTGCAGCCCTCTACCCATTTGCAGGACTTTTTTAGAGCCATTTTAGTGCCCAAAAGATCGGGTCCCCATTGACTTCAATAGGGTTCTGGGTCAAGTTCGGTCAAGTTCGAGGCTGAACTCGAACTTTTTGCCGATGTTCAGCCGAACCCAGCGAGCCCGAACATCCAGATGTCCGCGCAACTCTAATAATCACCCTAAATCCTTTTCCTCAGATGTTGAGGTTAGGACTCTATCAAATATTCTGTACTCTGCCCTTGGGTTTTTACGTCCAAGATGCATTATCTTGCACTTATCCACATTAAATGTCAGTTGCCACAACTCTGACCATTTTTCTAGTTTACCTAAATCATTTGCCATTTGGCTTATCCCTCCTGGAACATCAATCATACATATCTTAGTATCATCAACAAAAAGACATACCTTACCATCAAGACCTTCTGCAATATCACTAATAAAAATATTAAAGAAAATGGGTCCAAGAACAGATCCCTGAGGTACCCCACTGGTGACAAGTCCAAGCTCCGAATATATTCCATTAACTACAACCCTCTGTTGCCTGTCACTCAGCCACAGCCTTACCCATTCAACAATATTGGAATCCAAACTTAAAGATTGCAATTTATTGATAAGCCTTCTATGTGCAACAGTGTCGAAAGCCTAACTGAAATCTAGGTAAGCAATGTCTACTGCACCACCCTGATATATTATTTTAGTTACCCAATCAAAAAAATCTATAAGATTAGTTTGGCATGATCTCCCTGAACTAAACCCATGTTGTCTCTGATCTTGAAATCCATGTATTTTTAGATGTTCAACAATCCTATCCTTTAACATGGTTTCCATCACTTTCCCCACTACTGAAGTAAGGCTTACTGGCCTATAGTTCCCCGACTCCTCCCTACTACCTTTCTTGTGAATAGGCACAACATTCGCTAACTTCCAATCTTCTGGGACTACTCCTGTTAACAATGATTGGTTAAATAAATCTGTTAATGGTTTTGCTAGCACACCACTAAGCTCATTTAATAGCTTTGGGTGTATTCCATCAGGTCCCATTGACTTATTTGTCTTTACTTTTGACAGTTGAAATAGAACCTCTTCCTCTGTAAACTCACATGTAAAAAATTACTAATTTGTCCTTTTTTCTAACTGAGGTTCTTTCCTTCATTTTCATTTTAAATACAGAACAAAAATATTAATTGAGGCAGTCAGCTAGACCTTTATCCTCTTCTACATACCTTTTGTTTTTAATCTAACTAATCCTTGTTTTACTTTTCTTTTCTCATTTATGTATCTAAAAAATGTTTTGTCCCATTTTTTTTTACTGACTGTGCTATTTTCTCTTCTGTGTGTGATTTGGAAGCTCTTATAACTTGCTTAGCCTCTTTCTGCCTAATCTTATAGATCATTTTGTCAGGGTTTTTTTATAATTCCTAAATGCTAACTTTTTGTTTTTAACTATTTTGGCCACATCTGTGGAGTACCACAGTGGTTTCTTGATTTTTTTGCTTTTACTGACACGCCTAATGCAATTTTCTGTTGCCTTCAATAGTGCAACTTTTGAATAATCCCATTTCTCTTGGACTCCATTTAAATTGCTCCAGTCTGATAATGACTCCTCTACCCATATTCTAATTTTAGAAAAGTCTTTTTTTCTAAAGTCTAAAACTTTTGTTTTTGTGTGGTGTGACTCAGTCACTGTTCTTATATTAAACCACACTGACTGATGATCACTGGATCCTAAACTTTCACCTACAGTAATATCTGATACCAAATCTCCATTTGTTAACACTAAATCTAGTATGGCCTCTTTACGAGTTGGCTCCTCAACGACTTATTTTAGAGACAATCCCAGTAGGGAGTTTAGAATATGTGTGCTCCTGGCACAAGCAGCTATTTTGGTTTTCCAGTTCACATCAGGAAGATTAACCCCTTAAGGATGGCGGGCGTGCTATGCCGTCCTTGGGGACCCAGCTCTAAATGCCGGGGGGGGGCATAGCACGTCCCCGCCATCTTTTCTACTTACCCGGTCGCTGGCAATCCCAGGGAGTCCCCCTCCTTCCTCTCCGGCCCCCCTGGGCCATGTGATCGCGATGTCCTTGTAAGGACCTTGCTATCACATGGATGACGTACATGGACAGGTACTCCCCCTGCTGCCTGAAATAAAAAAAGGTTAAAACAGTTTCAAATTAACTTGTATATATTTAGATCATATATATATATATATTTATTATATATATGATCTAAGTATATATATATATATATATATATATACACATATACATAAATACACATATATATATACATACATAGTCTAAGTGTATTTTAATATTTCTATATATATATATTTATATATTAATATCAAAATACACGTACAATGATATTGATTAAATATATATATATATTTATATATAATATAAAATAAATATATGTAAATACATTAAATATGTTCAAAAAATAATATATAAATATATATATGTGTAATTTGATTCTGACTGTACTTTAAAATTAATGTATATATATATTGATATCAAAATACATGTAGAACGAAATAATATATATGTGGCAAAAGCACCTTCATCACTGGGATTTGGAGAGGCCTCTTGCCCCAAGACTATGGGCCCTGCAAAAAGTCAGGCTAAAAAGTGACTTCCATGGGAAAATGTGCCTCTTCAACTCCCCCTTTTTCCTGTCCTATATTTTCTCCAGCAGGGCGTTGTCCCAGGGACACTGCCAGACCAGTTTAAATTGGCTGCTTTGTCCCTCCTCAATCTGTCACCAGCCCTTGCTATTGTTTAATCCCCTGGCGATCCAACTGTATTTGTGAGATTTGAGTGCTTTTCAGACATATTGAGCGCTCAGATCCAAGCTATCTGGGGATATGTTGGACATATAGGTTAAACATTGTATTATAAGTGCTATGTATTTTTATGTGGTTTTTGTAACAGTTTTTGACTTAGACATATTTCCTGTACCTGGAGATAATTAAGTTACCACAGCCACTTAAGCCAATTATCTCCAGGATAGAGGAGAAGATAGACCGGCCGCACAGCATAAATCTGTGAAAGCCATGCTTGCGGTCGGTCAAATGTGACTTCCATAAAACTTTTGAAACCCTGCTCTGATCTGGGTGATTTTTGGATATGTTGTTCACCCAGATCAGGGCTATCCAGGGATGTAGGATTTAAGGGGATATGTTGTTGTTTTGGGGTGTTTCTGGACTTTGGGTAAAAATGTATATTTTCTGCCTGTGGTAATTGAGTTAGTCCATTGTGTTTGGTAATTGTATCACAGACAGAGGGGAGGGTTTGTGTACATTGGCTGGGAGTGTGTAACTGTACAATACTGTGTTGATTGTTTTGTGTCCTGTGCTCCACAAGGTCCACGTGGGTGGTAACCTTGTGGGGAAAATGTGTATAAAAGAAATGACTTTGTGCTGATTAAACAGACTTGTTCTACCCTTCATGAAGTTTCGGCTCATGTTTGGGGGATTGGAAAACTACCTACACTCTGGGGATTGCTATAATCACTATACTCCCAAGAGCTTGTTCCTGTTCCTGCTCTCTGGATTAGGAGAGGTCTGCCTACTGGAAGCTGGTCCCTGGCCTTGGGCCCAGAGTAGGAGGAAGACAGCGAAACCCCAACCAAGCTGCGGTGGTTCATGGGGTCTATGTATATATTTATGCGATAATTTTACATGTATTACAACGATATCATCGTCAGTGAAAGTGACTTTTTTTTGCATTTTTCACACACAAATTGCACTTACACGGACAATATTATTGATGTGATACTTTTACTGTTTTAAAACACAAATATTTGTGTTCAGCAAAGTCTCCTGAGTATAACAGTACCCCTCATGTACAGGTTTTATGGTGTTCAAAAGTTACAGAGTCAAATATAAGGCTTGCGTGTCAGTTTTTTCACATTGAAATTCGCCAGATTGGTTACGTTGCCTTTGAGACCGTATGGTAGCCCAGGAGTGAAAATTAGATGAGAGCAGTAAATAAGTTATGGAGGCTGGCCTCTCTACTTAAAAACTGCAACTCCAGGCAGACACTCCAGTGGTGTCTTGGGGCCTGACTCCTGTTAGGTAGAACAAAACGTAATGATATGGGTTAAGATGCGCTTTCTTACACAACTTGTAAATTGGTAAATAATATATATTTGCGACCATTTCCAGCTGACACTCACTCGCAGAGTTTTTTACTGTAGCAGTAAAGTAAAGTTTTGTTCTGGAA